CTTTCCCAAATCTCTCCCTCCCTCCAACTTTTTCTTAAATTAGTCAAGATAGTTTTATTTTTTCAAACATATATATATTGATTTTAGAAAGGAAGGGAGAGGGAGAGAGAGATAGAAACATCAATGATGAGAGAGAATCATTGATTGGCTGCCTCTTGCACACCTTTTACTGGGGATTGAGCCTGCAACCCAGGTATGTGCCCTTGATTATAATGAAATCCAGGACCTTCAGTCTGTAGGCCGAAACTCTATCACTGAGCCAGATCAGCTAGGGCCTGATTCATCTTTAATGTTCTGTATCAACTACTTGCTTTACCACAATGTCGATGACTCCTTGGGCCCTCTAAATGGGATTAATCCATAGATGCAGCCCATAAAATCAAGTCCTTAGCCTTAAGGAAATCACCTTTAGCTATTCCCCATGTACCACCTGACTTGATTTAAAGTCCTCTTTCACCTTTTTCATGTATGCCTTAGTTCTTCCTAGGCTCAGTGCTCACCTTGGTATTTGAACTCTGGTTTTTCTGCATTATTCAAAAATGCTTCATTGAACACATTACATGCCAAGCAGTATTCCATGTGCTAAAGAAACAAAAAGTGATCAAAACACACATGCCCTCACGGAACATACATTCTAGCGAGGACGCAAATACACAAAATAAAGGGCTAGTATAATATTAGACTGTGAGAGATCCAAGATGATGGCAGAGTAGGTGGATGTTACACTCACATCCTCCCAGGACCAAACTGGAATTAAAACTAAAATATAGAGCAATCAACCTGGGTAACCAACAGAAGAGCTGAACAGAAGTCTTATAACCAAGGATTTACAAAAGAAGACACATTGAGACTGGTAACAAGGTGGGGGGGGGGGGTGCATAAAGCACTGGCCCAGCTTTTACCAGTGGAGGCTGAGCTTCTGAAGAGATATTTCAGCTGTGGGGGTTCCTCCTGAGAAGTATAGGGTCTCAACCCCAAGCTGAGCTCCCTAGCCCAGAGCACCAAAGTTGGGAAGTCACCCACCTAACATCTGGCTGTGAAAATCAGCAGGCATTCTGTCCAGAAGGAGAGACTGTTAGAGACACAGGCAATCCATTAAAGGGCCAACACACAAAATCTCTTTCAGTCACTGACCCTGAGCTCTGGAGGAGAGGGAGGGAGCGGAGTGAAACTGGGGTTTGTGGCTTTTGAAAGAGCTGAAGGAACAGCTCCCAAAATACCTGTGCTGAGTCACTCTCCCATACCACAAACGGCATCTTTCTTGGGTGGAGCACTTCCCTCCATATGGCATCAGC